CCGAGCTGTCCCGGTTTTTCAAGAGGAGGTGTCGGGACTTGTTCACGTACCCGGAGGACGACCCGACCAGCACGTTTACTTGCCCGGCTGGGACGAGTTATAGGGTGATCTTCTGCCCTTAATATTGGTGTGATAGTATATATTTTATGTATATGTATATGAAGAAGAAGCTTAATAAATAAATTGGTGTGATGAACTCAAGATCTTGAGCATCCTCTGATTGAATGTGGTCATGATTTAGGTTTGACTTTTTTTCTGGTAATAAATTTGTACTTTTGTGGGGTGTGTGAGTATAGACTAGTACTTCCTGTTTGTGTCTTAAGTTTCTTGAACACTTGATGACATGATTAATGTGATGAAATTTCGTAGGAATATAATGAATTGAAGAATGAAATGATTATAGTATGCAAAAGAAATAAGACCGGAAGGGAATGACATTATTATTTTTTATTATAATTTTTTTATTAAATAATATATTTTTAATAAATATATATAAATGTTTTTTAATAATAATATAAAATAAAATATTATATTTTTAATAATATAAAAAATTAATATATTTTTTAATAATATAAAAAATAATATATTTTTAAAAGTATATAAAAATAAAGTAATAATATTTAATATATAAAAAATATTATGTTTTTAATAATATATAATAAAAGTATTATATATAAAAAATAATATATTCTTAAAAGTAATATATTTTTAATATATAAAAAATATTATGTTTTTAATAATATATAAAAAAAGTATTATATATAAAAAATAATATATTCTTAAAAGTAATTTATTTTTAATATATAGAAAATATTATGTTTTTAATAATATATAAAAAAAAGTAATATATTTTTACTTTTTTAACTAAACAAAAAATAAAAGTAAGTTTTAAAATTTTTTATTTGAATTTTATTTATAAAATAATATATTTTAATAATATATAAAAATAAAAAGTAATATATTTTTAATATTTTTTATCATATATTTTTAATAGTAATATATCTTGAAAATAGTTTTATTTAATGTATTTTAATCATGATTTGTAATATATATTATATTTTTATTTTTATTATTATTTGTTTATTTTATTTTTTGAAAAATTGATTCCTACACAGATAGGAATGGGAAAACCTTCCATGAACTATGGTATGACTAATCCCATGGAGATGGTTTTATCATTCCCATTGAATGATCATTCCGTTCCAAAAAACATACCAATTATAGAATAAATAATAAGTAAGGGAATGAACATTTCATCCCATGTCACATGAGACTGCACTGATCACATGAAATGAAACAAATGTTTCTAAAATCTCTTTAATTGGTGAACATTTGAAGGCAATTATCAAGTTTACCGTATTTTATATATTTTGTAAATTGCAATTTTGGCCATTTTGCTGATGGGTTTGGGTAGAATTAATAATAAATAGTCAATCAAAAGTCGTGCATGTATACAAAAGTGTGAATTTTTTTAATTATTTATTTTTTTTATTTTATTTTTTTTGTAAGCTGTAATTTCTGAACTGGTAAGTTTCATGTGAAATCTAGGGACCACATTGAATATGTATTGCACAAAAATCTGATTAACATCTTTTTTTTTGTTTGATATTAATTTTTCAACATTTGTACAATTATCTTTTCAATCTTGTCATACGACTACTGCGTATCCCGTGCGATGCACGGGTAAACAATATTAAATAATAATTATAACTAAGTATCGAGTTCGAGTCACCCAATGAAAGAAGTGGGGAACCACTATTGATCCTCTCTTAAAAGAGCAAGAAAATATATTATAAATTAAAAATGAGAGTAAACGATATTAAATAATAATGATAAATTAACGATGTGGGGTATATCAGTTTATTATAAACTATATAAAATTAGCTTGTTCAAGAGAACATAAAATTAGTATATTTAAACAATTAAAAACTCCTAAAATATTGTATTAACATATGTAAAGTTATCTAAAATTTTCTATATTATTATTAAAAGATGTGAAGTCACCTACAACTTTTTTCTAAACTATTTTGTAAAGAAAATATATCTAAAAATATTAAAGTTTACATTTGTATGAAAGATGTTTTCTGAATATGACATGATAAAATATTATAAGCCTATAAATAGATTATAAAGTTTTTGAAAGAAAATTTACCTACTATATATAAAATAAATATTGACATGGTGCTGAAAATAATGACGATACTACCGTAAAATTTGAGTATATAAGATTTCAAAATTATTATTATTATTATTCTTTTGAGTAATTTGATTACAAAAATTTTCAAAATTATTAATATTATTCTTTTAAGTAATTTGAGCACAAAAGTTTCAAAAATATTATTATTTTTTAGTTACTGTGAAAATAAATTTTGTGGACATAAAATTCCACGCTTTATGTAGATTTATTGAATGGAGACTAAGACAATTTTGAAAAAAAAAAAAATTGTCTATTTTCAAAATTATCCTCTTGATTTTTGAAAAAATGCATTTGTAATTTGACTTAGTTTTTGTAAAATTTTGAAACTTATGGAAAAAAAATTAAAGAGATGAATTTCAATTGATCTGAAATTCTTAAATCATTTTGAAATTCATGCAGATTGAAACAAAAAAAATAGAAATTCATTATGATTTTTGTAATTTTCAATAGGTTTGTTAATTTTAAAGCAACACAAAATCCTTCATTTAAGGATATGGATAGAAGCATGTGATTAGATATTTTTGAAATTCAATTTTAACAAAATTCTTTATATTAGGAAGAGATTTTGAATTAAACCTAATTTTGTGGCAACTAAAATGAGAAGGGATTTTGAATTTCAAAATTTCAATTCAAGTTCTAAGGATAATTTTTCGGCAATCAGATTGTTTGGAATAAAAAACACAATCGAATTTTTTGAAATCAAATTTATAGGTAAGTTGTAAATTTTTCTCGTCTATTTTAAAATATCTGTGAATAATAAGTATATTTATAAATCATATAATGTTTCATTAATTAGATGATTTGTTTTTATATGAAATATTCAAATCAAAAAATTGAAGTGGTTGAGTAATTTATTAAACTATGAATTATTGACTATTTCATTTACGTCGTCAAAGTTAATGTTGACTCGTAAGTTATGAATAATTACTTATTTGACTTATGAATTTGAAACTCAAATTTGGACTACACACTAAATTCCGTTATAAATTTGATGTATGAATATATTATATATATAATTTCGTAATTTTCTAAAGTTGTTGTCGGTTACTTTATCGTTCAAAGTTATCAACTAATTTTCTAGAATTAAATTACAATTTTTTAATCTTATAGACCAATATTTTTTGAAATCTTATGATAGCATATCAATAAAAATAAAAATAAATTAAGTAGAAACAAAATAATTGATTGAAAATTTTTAAAAATTTTAATCAATAAAGTTAGATCAATTATTGATTTCACATTAACTTTAATAAAAAATTACGTATGCATATAAATTATTCTTTTTTTTTATATATATATATACCAAAAATATCTAAAAGAATCCATATAAATAGGGATTTTTTCCAAACAAATGGGCATTTAGTTAAAACTTCTTTAATTATGATATTTTTAGTATGTAATTAATGTTCTTGTTTCTAAATTTATAAAAAGGTTATTCGTTTTATAAAATGATAGATAGATTACTCATGTATAAAAAAAAAAGACAAACAACACAATGCTATAATTTTGGAAACATGTGTGAAAACTGTGAAGCTATAACTACGTTTCTTTGTTTTCCAAATCCCTAATTTTAGGCTATATTTAATGCTTGTCAATTTGTTGTTTAAAAAAACTCAAAATACTTTCAAAAATAGCATGCAATTAATGTTGGTAGATTTTTTACTTACTATTTTTAAAAAATAGTAATTCTTTTTATATATATATATATATAGATATAGATTAACAAATCTATATATATAATTACTAGCTAATACATTTAATAAAACATTTAATAAAACCTATTTTCATTTCCTTCCAAAAGGAGTTAAATTTTTTTAATTAATTACTCACTAATTACACCTTAATATATATTTTTATTATTTATTTTTTTGGATCAGTTACTAAATTAATTCTAAATTTGGTGGCAAAATGTTCAAATGTGTAACGACTAATGTTGGAACTTAAAGTTGATTGGCACATTCGGAGCTGTAACCGCTATATTTGGTTGCATTGTTGGAATAAAAATATGATTGACACATATTTTTTTTTTTTAAAAATCAGAAACACCAATAATTTTTTTATTTATGTTAATTTTCTTAATATATACCACAAATATATAAATTATTTTATTCATGTTACTAATGTAAACGTTGCATGGTTAAAATAAAATTTAAATCTCAATTAATTTTGAATGATAAAAAATAACTTAAGAAAAATAATAATTTTTATATGATAGAAGTACATGTCTAATTAATAAATACAAATAAAAACGTGTTTTATATCTGTGCAAATGCACATGATCAAATACTAGTATAAATAGATCTTTACTACTCACCTTTCAAGACGTGGCTACGGGACATCGGGCCCGCTGACCCGCATGACCCGTCTCGGTCAAACCTGTTGACCAGAGATTCGAGTTCGGCTCAAATTTCAAACGGGTCAGTCTAGGGTCTTGTTTTTGTTGACCCTGACTCGGTGGGCCGATCGGGGTCTGATCCGACCCGAAAAGAACACATTGTTTTTATTTTATTTTATAATTTTTATTTGGGCGGCTCGAACCCAGCACGATCATGGTCCGCGCCGGTTCAAGGTCCATGGAGCCTAACCCGTCGACTTATCCAATGCACTTCGTATGAAGAGGGAGAAAAAATAAAAAAAAAAACAAAGAATCAGTAATTGAAAATTTTATGACTATTGTATGTTACGAACTTATCCAGTGCACTTCGTATGAAGAAAACTATCGAGGAACTATATATGTCAAGGGAAAAAAAATAAACAAATAATGAGAATAAACAATTAGGTAATTATTGTGTACATGTACATGTACATGTATCAGTCCGGCCATGGCCGAGGTCAAAGGAGCCTATCCCGTCCCTTTCACGCCGTGTGTGAAGCGATTGCAACGGAGCCGCCGCACCTTCCGCTCCCAGTAGGAAGCTATCCAACTTCTTCCTTCCTCTTCTGGCTTTGTGCCAGTCGACAAAAGCCGCTTGCTCCTTCGTTTCGGCTGGAGTCTCTTGGAGGCGGATCGTCACCTCTCGACCTCGACGCGGCGGGAGCCCAGATCTGAAATGAGAATAACTTTCTCGTCAGATCTGTCTAGGAGGTTCGAGTTTGGCCGCAATTTTTTAGTTTGGAGCCTCGGTTTGCAGCTCTGACGAGATTTAGTGCAACAGAGTGTGGCTTGTGTACCGGTTTAGAAGGTGTTTTATTCTGTTTGTTTGTTAGGTGTGTTTTTTTTATTATTATTATTGTTATTATTTTTTCGTTATGCTTAATTCAATTGCGTCTGGCTATAGTCTCATTTATAGAATTTTAGCCTAAAAGCTCTCCTACCGGCTAATTAGGATCTGACCAAAAAACCCAGAACCACCTAACCTGCCACCGCCGGACCAGCAACAGGATACCAATACTTGAAAACCTCCAGCACGATCGGCGAATGTGGCCCTAGACTGAAGTCACAACCACCTCGCCGGGGACTTCTTATTGCCCAACACCATAGCGAGATCAGGAGCCGGGAAGCCCAACTACAGGACAGAGCACCCGATCCCCGGCCACCCGCGCGCCAACGGCCGAGGCCCACTGCCGCAAGAGACCCCTCGAATCGACGAACCCCGAGCCTCTGCCATGGCATAAGAGCAACAAGGACAACTACGCAGATGCGGAGCACCACATCTCCGGGACGCCCGTGAACAATTTTGAACCCAGCCCTAGGACGCTGCAACCTCCTAAGGAGGAAGGCAGTAGCAGACGGGGAGGCAAACCACAATGGGATTAGGGATCCGAGTGGAAGAAGGCGGGAACTTTTCGTTCCCTAAACACGCCTTAATCTCTTGCAAATTACTTTGTTAAAACTCACATACCACAAAACTTATGATACAATTTCATGTCGTTTGTAAAATCTTTGTTTATGTTTCAAAGTTGTGCTAATTAATCCATGGGGGGTCGTTTACTTTGCAGGTTAGGATAAGATAACTAATATATCCTATATTTACTTTAAATGATTGGGACAAAATTTGACTTTGTTGGCACCTATGTGGCGCGCGTGACCCACCACTTATCACGATTTCTGGGACAAAATAAATCCCGGGGGGGAGGCCGGATATTTTTTATCCCGTTTTTACATCCCTATTATACCCTCACTTTTCTATTGTAAAAAGACATAAATGCCCCTTAAGTTCAACTTATTTACAATCAATTACCCATATAAATTAAAAAAATTACAGTCTAATCCTCCTTCATCATTTTCTCCAGGTAAAGCCCGAAGGCTTCAAGAGCCATGGAGTTTTTTTCTTTTTTTCTTTTTCTTCCAGGTAAAGCCCGAACAAGAGCCATGGAGTTTTTTTTTTTTTT